CACACACACACTCTGCCCTGAGGTGTGTGTTACCTCTGTGGTGTTTGCACAGAGTTAAACCCTGGAGTGTGTTTCTGCTGTTGGAGTCTGCGCCTCTCGCACGCTAACACTTTAACACAATCCACCAGCCCGACGGAGCAGACAGCCCCGATACCAGACCATACCAGACCATACGATACAATACCATACCAAACGATACCATACGATACCAGACCATACCAGACCATATGATACAATACCATACCAAACGATACCATACGATACCAGACCATACCAGACCATATGATACAATACCATACTAATACGATACCATACGATACCATACCATACCATACCATACCAGACCATACCAGACCATACCAGACCATACCATACATACAATACGATACCATACGATACCAGACCATACGATACAATACACACCTCGATACACATGCCACTATATGATACACACCTCAATATACATGATACCATACGATACCAGACCATACGATACCATACAAATACCATACCATATGATACAGTACTATACCATACCATACACACCTCGATACACACGATACAATACGATACACACCTAGATACACACGCCACGATACCATACGATACAATACTATACCATACCAGACCATACGATACCAGACAATGCCATACCATACCATATGATACAATACCATACCATACCATACACACCTCAATACACACGATACAATACGATACACACCTCGATGCACACACGATACCATACGATACCATACACACCTCGATACACACGATACCATACGATACCATACACACCTCGATGCACAGGATACGATACGATACCATAAACACCTCAATACACACGATACCATACGATAACATACACACCTCGATACACACGATACCATACGATACCATACACACCTCGATGCACAGGATACGATACGATACCATAAACACCTCGATACACAGGCCACGATACTGTACGCTACACACCTCGATACACATGCCACGATACTGTACGATACACACCTCGATACACATGCCACGATATGATACACACCTTGATACACAGGTCACGATACCATACAGATCCCGATACAGTGCACTTTTGATTTGATATGACATATTTCAAGTCACTTCAATACAGTTCAATAAAAATCATGGCTGTGATACTAAAAGTCTTTGTTCATATGAAACACAAACATTTTAACCCTTCCAGACCTAAGGGCAGTTTCAGTACATTTGTCCCCGGCTGTTGCTATTAAAACTGCCCCTTTTACCTCCCAATGAAGTGTCATACATCCTTTTTGTCACTACAACCTGTTATTTCACAGTCTGCTGCTGGAGTTGTGTCACTAAATGCTACAGGACCAGAAATACAAAAACTGAAAATGAAATTTACACAGTTTCATACAAAACACACAGCAAACATGTATAAACAGCTATTTGGACATTAGAAAATGCTCAATTTGGGGCCTTAGCTACAAAAGTTCAAAATATGAAGTCTGTAAATAAACTCAAAATCTCCTTATTGCATCAAAACAAAACAAAAAAGTGCAATGGCCCCATGACTTTCCTGGTGTCAGTCGTGGAAACAGCTGGTGTCAGGTCCAGGGCACAGAGCCACATCACTTCCTGTATTTCCATGATGTTTATTACATTTGGATTTGTACATTTTGACTGAAATAAACTTTTAATAGCAAGGGATGCACAATTACACAGACCAAGATGCGTAATTTGGCATTTATTTGAGAAATAACTGCACTTAGAGCAACTTTTTTCAGTTGTTATGAACACAGACGCTCAGAGCATCGACTATCTTGACTCACTACACTCTTTGGCAAAGTTTGGACCAATCAAAATAGACGGAGAGCATGAGTTTGGCAGAAAACAAAATTCCTATTGGACCCTCGTTTTCCCTACGTCCCTAAGGTAGGATAATACTGGAAATATGCTCGGAAAGACACAACTGTCAGTCTTTCAAAAAAAAAAAAAAGTAAGTTTCTATCTTTTATGGTTGGAAAGTTAAGTGCAGTTCTATAGGGTTAATCATCAGAACAGTGAAAATGTCAAATGTGATGAACAAGTTTCCATCCTGTGAACAAGCAACAAAACTGTAGCTGTAACAAAATAACTGAGTAAAATAAACCAAAAAATACTCTTGGCGATATATCGATACAGCAGCCCACGATATCAATACTGTATCATCACATTAAACAATACGATATATCTCAATATATTTCAATGTTTTTGCACAGTCACACAACACTAAAGACTAATGCTAATGTAAAGGTACACTGTGTCACTTTTCCAGTGGAGGGACCTGCCACCTGCTCGTCTCCATGGAGATGTTTTTGCATTGCTAGGAATGTTCCGTAGTATGACATTAAACGTATTCATCTTGCAGGTATTGAGCTACAGATTCAAGAGCCCATATTACGTTATTGTATGTATTATGCGGGGATGTAACGATACGTACGATTTTATAATGATATGCATCTCACTGTACGATATTTATTGCGATATTTTGGACAGGCTGATGTAATTTTATAGATAGGACGCGTTTTTGCTTTAAAATACCTCGACAAGATTTTGGTGTGAATTATTACCGTCATAATCCCAAGAATTCAAGTAAAAAACATTTCTTCATATTGTCTGTGCTGAAATGAATCATGGGATATGTAGTTCCCGATGTTTATTAGCCGTTTCTACTACTAAAAAGCGGCATTTAAGCAAAGGAACTTGTCATTCGATATATTGTGACAGACTTTTGACGATACAATATCACGATACTTCAGTTATTATGACATTCCTGTTATAATTGTTGTTACCTCTTCAAAAACAGACCTGGAGTTGTGTTTTGTTTCATTCACACTTTATTATTATTAGTCTGTTTACATCTCCAAAGCTCCAAACACTCTGTTCCACCTTGTGATGTCATGAAGTAGTTTTGTAAGTGAGCAGCTCCTTTCACCTTTTGTTTATTAGATTGGAAATTCCAGGGATGAAATGATCCGAATGATTCTCATGAAGGTGTGTGGAGTTTAAAGACACAGTGGAGCACTTCCTGTATCACCACATGACATCACAAAGGTGGAATTGAGTGTTTTCAGTTTGAGAGAAGATAAACATGTGTGAAAGAAACAAAACACAACTCCAGGTCTGTTTGTGATGAGGAAAACAACATTTGAACATAAATCTGTAAATAGCGCAACGTGGACGCTTTAAAATCCACACACTTTTACTAGAATCATTTGGAAAATTTCAAACCTGGAGCCATTTTCTGAACAAAGAAATCTCCCGGATGCGAGACTATACACGGCAGAAGTTCTCCCTCTTTATAACTTCAAATAGAAAGTGTAAAATTATTGTAAATACATTTCGAAGTCTCTAGATTCAAAGGTCCAAAGTTGGAAACATGATGCAATTCCAGTTACAGCCAGCAGGGGGCGTAGGGACAGTGGATATCATGCATTCCAATGGGGAAAAAAAATCCAACCCAAGCACTTCAGACTCCAGCCAAAAAGAAACTGCAGCAACATCACTCAAACATACTCAAATGTGGACTTTAAAAACACAGAGGAGTACCACCTGATGACATCACGCAGTGGAGTCAGGCATGGTGTAAATATGTGCGAACACGTGTAAATAAACTAAACGGTATGTTGTCGAGAGCATGTTTACAAGTTAAACTGTCACGTAACATAAAGATCCATTGTGGGACATTCCTCATGTTCGTCTCCATGGTGACGTTACCGTTTTGACAGTGTAGAATGTTCCGCAGCATGGCATTAAACCTATCCATCTTGCACGTATTAAGTAACGAGTTTCTACTGTAAGAAAGCATGCATTCATGCTGTGAGCAGACTCGCCTCTCCATAGATCATACCTGTAACTTGGTATCGCCTGCTTGTCTGGATGGAGATTGTCGAGTTTAATGCCATACCGGGGAACATTTCGAGCAAAAAAAGCGGTAATTTCCATGGAGACAAGCAGATCGTGGCGAATCTTACACCAGAAAAGTTACGTACAGTGCAGTTAAAGTTACCAATAGCAACCAGAGAGGCTCGATACAGCGCGCAACTCAATCTTAATCTTACGCTCTGCTGCAGGACCGTACGTGGTTACGAACGCACAAGGTTGGATTTCAAACGAGACACGAAAAAACGAGGAAGAGCTGAAGGGCGCGGGTTTAATAAGACTCATCTATCAGAGCAGATCAAAGCAGGTGCCAAGTCCCGACGAACCCCGCAGCGCGCACGAGCGACGCACCGCAGCACCAGCTCCAGCACCCGGATCTCCCGCACCCGGATCTCCACGGAGGTTTGGGGATTCTCAATTTGACGCTATATTTCTCTGACTCTGGGTTTCTTTCTCTAATCTTCATAAACGTGCTCTCTCTGCCAAAAAACTCCGCCGCGCCTGCCAAAAGAAACAAGGCGCTCTCCAAAGATGATAATCCGCGCTACTTTTCCGCAGGTCCACCAAACATGGGAACTAAAGAGAAGCATTTCAACAACTTTAACGAGCACTCCGCCGCCTCACGTGCGTCTGGAGAGCACGGAACACAGCTGCGCTTCTGGGTGCGCTCCAGTTTCAGTGCGTCTTGTGCCAATGTTTAGACTGAAGCGCGCACGCCACTCAAACCGGCGTGGAGACTTCAGAGAATACATTTAAATGAAAGAGCAAACGTGACCACGCAAACTGCACTGACATTTTCTCCACCTGCTTCGTGCACAGTGTGACAAAGCGCCATCCGAGCGCAGATCCGCGCGGAGGTGTGCTGCGCTCCACACTCCTCATCCCTGCGTGAGTGAAGACGAGTTTAGGAGCCACATCTCCTCACGGCTCTGCCTCTAAACAGGCTCCACTCAAAATAAACACAATCTAAAGCCACGAGGAGAATCATCTCCAGAACCTCTGACGTGAACTCCAGAATGCACCGTACATCCACCTGCCTTTCTCACACAGTGCAGTATTAAAGTGTGCGTCGTTACGCACGGAGCCGGTCCTACCTGGCGGAGGAGGAGCGGGTTTGTGGCCCTTCTCGTTGGTGCAAACGCCTCGGCCGTGGAGCAGCGCGTGCAGGGGCTTCTCCTCTCCGCTCCGGGGCAGACAGCGGAGACCCTTGGTGCACGTGCCCGTGTACACACCGCACGCCTGGCCCTCCGCGAGCGCGCACGTGAGGCAGCAGCCGCAGCCCGGCTCCTTCACGAGCTGGCAGGTCATGGGCACCGGCGGGCACATGGACAGCGTCTTCTCGTCGCACGGTTCACACGGGACGTAGGAGCCGAGGCAGCCGCTGAGCTGCAGCACGAGCGTGGCCAAGAGGGGCGCGCTCACTAACATGGTCCCGGGCAGTGTCGAGGAGAACGGGGCTCTATGGCACAATGCCGCTCAAAGATAATCCGATTGTTCAGACTAAAGCCAAAGTCTTTATCCGGAGCAGGGGCTCAGATGACACGCGTGTAGCGGCTTCAGCGCAGGTCCAGTCCGTTGCACGCTCCTCTGTCCTCGGTGTGTCTTTGCCTCTGTCTCCGCGGCACTTCCAGAGCGCACTGATCCAGCGCAGCGCTGCGAGCCTTTTTAAAAACAGCCCAAACCCTGAAAGAGCCGAGCAGCGGGAGGAGGGAGGGCGGGAGGGGGAGGGGAGGAGGGGAGGAGGGGAGGGGGGGGGGGGGGGGGGCACTTGTTCCACGGCTTGGCACAGAGCCAGACGTTTTTTTTTTTGTTTTTTTTTTTCCTTTGGGCAAGACGCGAGGAGCTCTCTCTCTCTCTCTCTCTCTCTCTCTCACACACACACACACACACACACACACACACACACACACACACACACACTCACGCACACTCTCTCTCTCTCTCTCTCTCTCTCTCTCTCTCTCTCTCTCTCTCTCTCTCTCTCACTGCTGCACAGATCTGTTCGGGGAGACACGGCGGAGAAACGCGCTCGGACCTCTGTGTTTACGCGGACACTTAGGCGGATTTGTGCTCTGAGTTATGTTGTGTATTTAAAAGTTTTCTGACACATGTGTTTAGAGACAGCGGCTCTGGGCTCATCTCCCGAAGTGGAAGCCTTTCGTTACTGTTGTAAACTTCAGCTGCGCAGCTCCTCTCCCACTCAGCGCCGCACACACGCACAAATATGCAGCCTGCCTTCTGCACGAGGAGAGGGGAAAAGGAGTCTCAAACTGCACCGGCCAACCAAGTGACGGTGCACGAGTGACCAGTAGGGGGAGCATGCACACAAAAGCATCAATGAGCAGCAGGAGCAATCGGTGCGTTTTTACTGTGGACCAGTTGCAGTGCGCAGTTTAAAGGTGAACTTTTAGACTCAAACAAAACAGACGCATGAAACAGCCTAAATGTTAAAATGCACCTTTTTCCTTTGACATCAAGTTGAAAGTTAAGAAAAAGACACTCGATATATATAATGTAGTTTGTAACGTAATCCATTAAATTACTTAAAGTGAGTAATGTAATCTGAATACTTTGGATTACTTGATTTGCTGTAGAGAAGCAAAGACGAGGAAATCTTCACATAAGATGTTTTGTCTGATAAAAGAAAATTTAAAAAAAGCCCAGACTTTACTTAAACAAATTAAAAATATTATTGATAGAAGACGAGGAGACACAGTCCATGCATCCTGTTAAATCCTGGTTTAGACCTGGTTTAGTCTTGGTTTAGTCCTGGTTTAGACCTGGTTTAGTCCTGGTTTAGTCTGGTTTAGGGTTTAGTCCTGGTTTAGTCCTGGTTTAGTCTGGTTTAGTCCTGGTTTAGTCCTGGTTTAGACCTGGTTTAGACCTGGTTTAGTTTAGTCACCTGGTTTAGACCTGGTTTAGTCCTGGTTTAGAGTCCTGGTTTAGTCCTGGTTTAGTTTTAGACCTGGTTTAGACCTGGTTAGTTCTGGTTTAGACCTGGTTTAGTCCTGGTTTAGTCTTGGTTTAGACCTGGTTTAGACCTGGTTTAAGACCAGGTTTAGTTCTGGTTTAGACCTGGTTTAGTCATGGTTTAAGTCTTGTTTAGTCTTTGGTTTAGTCCTGGTTTAGTCTTGGTTTAGTCCTGGTTTAGTCTTTGGTTTAGTAGACCTGGTTTAGTCCTGGTTTAGACCTGGTTAAGGTTACCAGGTTTAGTTCTGGTTTAGACCTTTTAGACCTGGTTTAGTCCTGGTTTAGTCTTGGTTTAGTCCTGGTTTAAGACCAGGTTTAGTTCTGGTTTAGACCTGGTTTTAGTTTAGTCCTGGTTTAGTCTTGGTTTAGTCCTGGTTTAGTCTTGGTTTAGACCTGGTTTAGACCTGGTTAAGACCTGGTTTAGTTCTGGTTTAGTCCTGGTTTAGTCTTGGTTTGTCTTGTTTAGTCCTGGTTTAGTCTTGGTTTAGTCCTGGTTTAGTCTTGGTTTAGACCTGGTTTTAGACCTGGTTTGGACCTGGTTTAGTGTCCGGCAACGAGTGGAATTACCGGAAAAAAAAAAAGGGGATTTAGCCCAAAATGTGAAAACAGGAAAATCCCTCTGTGTAATCCATTTATTTCAACAAAGTAACTGTAATCCAATTACCACTCACTGAAACAGTAACTGTAACTGAATACAGTTACTCATCATTAGTACTCTGATTACATAACTCCAGTACATGTAATCTGTTACTCCCCAACACTGTCTAAGAGTACAGAAAATAGACTCTTGTGAGCTTTAAGTCATGTTATTAATGATTTTATCTCCTCAAAAACAGACCTGGGTTTGTGTTTCGTTTCATTCACACGTGTTTGAGTAACTCTTTATTAGTTTGTCGACATCTCCAAAGCTCAAAATGCTCAGTTCCACCTCGTGATGTCACACAGCGGACGATTTCAGATTAGTTTGGAGTTTAAAAACACAGTGAAGCACTTCCTGTATGACCATATAATATTATTTTTTTTTAATTTATTGCTATTCTATGATTTTGCTCTTATTTTATTTGTACTGGTTTTATTATTTTAAGACGAGTATGATTATTTTTGTAGTTTATTTGATCATTTTATTATTGTTGTTATTATGTGTTTGTGCAGCGCTTTGGAAACTGTTTGTTTGTGAAATGTGTAAAAGAAATAAAGTGGATTGGATTGGACCACATGACATTATTTATTTATTTTTTATTAAGTATAAAAAGACGTTAATATTGCCACAAGATGGGAAAACAGTCAGTTATTTCATTATTCCATTTTATTACTTCATTTAGTGTCAAACAAAAAACAGATTTCGACCTCTAGTTCCAATATTTAATTCAAAGTTTAAAGTCTCGGTGATTGTTTTAATTTTGATATTTTATTTTCTCTGGTTTATTTGCCCCTGAAGTTCTGCTGCTCAACCATGAATCTATAATAAAACCTATTTTTATTATAGTTCTATGGTGTCAAATGAACAAAGTTTATCGCTGCTACTTGTTTCTCGTCATGGAGTTCAGCAATGACTTTTTAAAACGCAAAACTAAATGCGTCGCTATAACAGAAGACGACACGTTTGTCTATAAAATTGCAACGATTTTTCAGGTAAGTCCTTCTAGTAGCAGAACTTCCAAGACAAATAAACCAGAAAAAAAAACAAAAAAAAACAATAATAATATCAAAATTGAAATAGACACCATTTTCATTGGTGTTATTTGAAATAAATGTTAAATTAAATATTGGAAATAGAGGTCGAAATCAGTTTTTTTTTACACTAAAACTGAAAAATGAAAAAAAAAACTGTTTGTTGACCCATTTTATTGTTTTTCATTCTTAATTTAAATTGAAAAAGAATGAATTGTACATGGACCAGAAAGAAAAGAAGAACATTTCAAATCAGTACATTTCAGTTCAGTCACAAATATTAATCAATTGCAAAAAGAAATCTTCACTATTTTGCACAACAACTTAATTTTCTTTTCCAAACATACACATTTGCACTGGATTTGATGTGTTTTTTTTAAATGCCGTCATTGTATTTGATTCTTCTATATCTTTGTCAAGACTCTTTCATAAATAAACTCCTTTCACAGCGATGACACTGATTCTGAATCTGTTTTCCCTTTCAATTGTAGTGGCTTGTTTTCATCTCAGCCTTTGAATATTTACAGGTGACACTTTGTACTTTGCTTTATACATGACTTTGAGGAGAATTAAGTCGACAATATCCTACATTTTTAACACTTTAAGTTGAACAAATAATGGGTTTGATGGCTCTCTGTTGGTGATGATTCTCAAGGTCCTTTTCTGTAAAATAAATAATGTCTGTAGATAAGTTTAACATGTTAACCCCCATATTTCCACACACTACATCAGATCTGGTGCAATTCTAGACTTATACAAGGTACATTAAAAGGTGGAACAAAGTGTTTTTAGTTTAAGAGAAGAACTCAGCCTAAATATGCTGAGTTTAACATGTGAGAATGAAACAAAACACAACTCCAGGTCTGTTTGTGATGAGGAAATGTTAACATAGATCAGAAATAGTGTCATACGGAACCTTTAAAAAAGATACTACAGTCAAACGGAACCTGTGTCTCAAGAGTTTTAACCTGCATATCCAAGTTTGTGTCAGTCTCAGTTCATGGCATGAGTCTCCAACCTTTTTTTCGTCTGGTCTTTATCTTTAGAAAACAGAAACGGCAGAGAGCTCCTAATGGAAAGAAACTGAGAAAGTAGAAGAACCATGGTGAGTCTTTAATGGACAGTGTTGGGAAGGTTACTTTTCAAATGTATTCCCCTACAGATTACAGATTACATACACCAAAATGTAGTTTGTAATGGAATCCATTAAATTACTTAAAGTGAGTAACGTAATCTGAATACTTTGGATTAGTTGATATTGTCATGCTTTTTAAAACGACATGAATGTAACAACCACATCCTGAAAATTCTTGTTTGTTTTCTTCAAATTTGTTTGTTGAGCCCAAGTCTCCATGAACAGACAATTGTTTACTGTAGGCGAGTTTCAGATGACGTCATTGTTATTAAAAGCCCGCGTTGCATGCTGGGAAATATTTTGGTCGGAGGCAAGAAACAGGATAGCGGTCAAACACAGTGCGTAACCTCGCGTATTTATCCCCGATAATGGTAAATTCCTGCTGCATTATCGGATGCACAAATAGAAGCACGGAAGAAGGAAAATGTCTTTTTCGTATTCTGAGTGAAAAGAACCACTAACGATGAATTAAATGACTTTCAAACATTCACAGAGCAAACGTAGAAGATCCTAACAAACCGTGGACTCCAACAAGTTCAACAACACATCGAGACTCTTGGAGGTTTTCATCTTTTCTGCTGTGAATGGCCCAGGAGTTTCCACCAAGTCATTGTGGATATCGTCAAGTGAATATTTGTCCAGGTAGTTGGTGATTCTGACCAGAAATTTGGTTTGGTTCTTCTTCTGTAGGGGTTGAAAAGGGTGATTGGTCTTGGGTCCTCTGCCGTTAGAGTGGATAAATAACCGGGATCAATACCCTTTACGTGCTTTCTCGCTCCGTCCGTCATGTTGAATTAGTGTTTCTTGCCGCCGACCAAAATAATTCCCAGCATGCAACGCG